GTTCTGGAACTTGCCATGTAGACCAGGCTGGCCTCAAACTCACAAAGATCCTTCTACCTCTGCCTCCCAAGTGCTGGGATTAAAGGTGTGCACCACTCTGCCCAGCTAAAACATTCTTTAAAAACTACAGTATTGCAGGAGCCTAAGCAAGCAAAGTGATTGCAAACAGATGTTTCACTAGATAACTGTGGTATTTGTTTCTCAAGATAGCTTTGAGGGCTTTGGTGTTCATTTTAGTAAGCATTCACAAAAGCACTGTAAGGTGTGTACTATATCCTAAAGTATAAAACCAGGTATTAAATGATAAAAACAATGTCATATACTCATAAAAGCAACATTAAATGCATGAGAATATTCCTTTACTCCTTCATTCCCCCCTTTCAATACCTGTTTATATCACCTAAGGCATCAGCCTTTAAAGGTTTGTTGTATTAAATACTGAACCTCTGAGATCCTCTTGCCCTATTGCCTGATATGCAGGTCCAGAAATCAGGACCATTTGTAATGTCATTGATACCAGTTAAGAGGAAATGAAATCAGTCAAACAGGAGAGGAAATATGGTTCAGAAAGGAGTGTTACTGTGAGGACTGACAGTGGGCTTTGGTATGAGTCACAGGGAGAGTAAGGACCAGAAAGAATTGGAAGAATCCAGAACTCATTACACTTCTATATCTGATGCTGTTGGTCATGGATTTTAACGTGTACTATTCCAGATTGGTTTACATAAAAGCAGTATTCTTTCTGCAGAAACAAGCAAAAGCTTCCTTTCTCTGTCATTTGGAAATCAAGTTCCTTTCTATTTTATGAGTATTGTAGCTAATGAATCTAATTGTTTTTGTACTAAAAATATTGATTGTGGGATTGATTCTGTGCCAGAAAGTGGTAAGTTAGCTATTCCCAGTGTTTTAGTTGTAAGTACTGAAACCAATACCTGAGTTTCAAGAGGGCGCTGTGGGTCTGGTGTGGGTTAAGGGAATGGGCTGGATGGTAATTTTCCTTGGGGCTTGCTCACTCTGTCAATGCAGTGAGTGCTCCATCAGGAGCTTGACAGAAGGGGCACCATGGGTTTGAGATAGTCATCTAGACCATATTTCTGAGGGAGTAAAGAGTTACTTCCCATTACAAGTTTAGCTTTGAAACATGGTTCAGAACTGGTCCCAGTAGTAGTTATTCCATTCAGGAAGTATTTATATTCTGAGCATAGGGAACGTAGTGGGATTTTCCACAGAAGTAGAGAGGATGCCATGGGATATTAAGTTCTCCTGCAATCTTTCCCTGGTAACAGATGAAGCAGTCTGGCTCTGATATGGTGTCAGATTTTTTTCAAATGCCCTACAAAAATGAGGGTTCCAAAAATGAGGGATGAAGTATGGAACCCATCATTACAGTGGAAATAAGACTGACCATTACATGGTGGACGTAAAGTGCTTCCCACATATCTGGGTCTCTAGGGGGTGCAGAAGGTTGTAAGAAACAAAGATGTTTGTGTGTGTGTGTGTGTGTGTCTTTTTGAGTCAGGGTCTCCCTGTAGCCCCAGCTGGCTGGAACCTGATATGTAGACCAGGCTGGCCTTGAACTCAGAGATCAGCCTGCCTCTGCCTCCTGAGTGCTGGGATTAAAGGCACGCACCACCATCCCTGGCTTAAGCTCAGGTTATTTTTTAAAGAATAGATTTCAAGCCAGGCATAGTGGCTTTAATCCCAGCACTTGGGAGGCAGAGGCAGGCAGATCTCTATGAGTTTGAGGCCAGCCTGGTCTACATAGTGAGTTCCAAATCAGTTGGGTTTACAGTGAAACATGCTCCCCCTACCGCCCAGCAAAAAAAAGCCGCTGGTCACACACTGAGATTCTCTGTGAATTGCCCAAGCCTAAGTGGCACATCTAGGATGAAACCTCTACATCTAAGACTCATGGAACATAGAACAAGGATGAAGAGAACATTAATGCATCTTTCAATTCTCATTAATGAAGCTCCCTCATGCAACAGAGGGCCAGGAACACAAAAGGCCACAAATGGCCAAAAAGCAGAGACTAACAGAGAACAAGAGTCAGCAGAGTGAGGGTCCTTGGACAGGACTCCTATATTGAGGTGAACACACCCAGGGCTCAGGGACCATTGTAGAAGAGAGGGCAGAAAGATTCTAAGAGCCAAGGAGGAGGTGAATGAACATATGAAAATAGTCCTACAGGCATCTGGGACCCTTCTCATACAAACCAACAGCAATGGTGTCACCATGCACAAGACCCATACAAACTTGGGCAGATTAAAAACCCAGCACATAACTGTGGAAATGGACAACAGGGTCCAATCTTAGTCGAAGAATTATTGGCAGCTGATTACTGCTGAATGAGGAAGAGCTGATCTTCCTGAAGGGAGAGACTCTAAAAAGGCTGACTAAATCCCACTGGATGAACCTGCATTGAGGAATATCTTGGGACTCTAACTTTACATAATAGGCCTTAATACAAATGACAGACTCTATGAACTCCAATGGGGGCTATGGGAGGGTGCCAAAGGGGAAGGGGAAAGGGGTATAAAGATGATTTTATGTATGAAATACACGAAAATTCAATAAAAAATTCTTTTAAAAGGTTCTGGAGATAGTAGTGATGATTGCATAACACTGTGAATGTGCTTTATGCTACTTGGTTAGTGCATATATACAATGCATATTAATATAATTAATACATATAATAATCTGTTGGTTTGAATGAGAATGTCCCCCATAGACTTCAAGTATTTGGACATTTTTGTCCCCAGTTGGTGGGGCTGTTTTAAGAGGTTTTAGGAGGTGCGGCCTTGCTGGAGGCAGCATATCACTGGCGGCAGGCTTTGAGTTCTTAAGCTATGTCAGATTGCCAGTTTCTCTCTGCTTCCTGTGCCTGCTTGAAGATGTGATTGCTCGGCTTTCTGCTCTGGCTGCTAGTCCTTTACCCATATGAAATCTCCTCATTGGTAAGAGTGCACTGGGTTACTTATTGGCAAGGGGAGTCTTTCTTGCACCCATTTGTGTAACTGAACTATACTGCAGGCTAGTAGTTTGGCACGAATTTCTAGGTTTCCCATTTCCAATGATCCTTGAGGATTCTTATGAGGGTAGGGGGTCTACAAAACAATCTCATGAGCTGAGAGTTTTAATTCTTGCTCAGGGTGAGTTTCTCACCTGGAAGAGAGCCATAGGGAATAAGGTGGTCCAGGGCAACTCAGTCTGCTGGCAAAATTTACTTAGGGCCTGCTTTAATGTTTAACTCATATGTTCAACTTTTACTGAATTCTGTGGCAGACAGGCCACATGTAAGTTCCATTTAATTTGTTGGGCCTTTGCCAGTCCTTGCGTGGTCTCAGCTATAAAGGCAGGTCTGTTGTCTGACCTGACTGAGGTGAGCATCCCAACCTGGGACAAAATCTATTAGCAAAACTTTTATCTCCCTAACCTTTTCAGTTCTTGTGGGATATGTCTCCACTCAGCCAGAGTAAGTGTACACAATAACTAGCAGGTACTTATATCCCTTGCTAGATGGTAGTTCAGTAGTGTATCTCTAGATCTTCAGATGGGGCTCTGTCTAAATCCTCTGTATTCCTGATGGCTGGAAAGGGCCTTGTTTGGTACGGATGCAGCAGGTACAAGCTTGGCATCTCTGGATTATGTTTCCACAAAGTGTGTGGGAGCCTAGCCATATAGTAATACTAGTTTAGTAAAGTCTCTAGGGCTGTCTTTCCCACACGGGTATCATCATGAGTTGGTGGTCCACAAGATGGGACAGATGGTCTGAAACAAAAGGAGCCACCATCCATGTGAGTCTTTAGTTCATTTTTATTGTTTTGCCCAGGCCTGTTCCTGAGTATAGTTTGGGCATTTGGGAAAGGTTGAGAGCACCAGGGCTTTGCTAGGAGCCACCTGGGGCCTAGGGGGTGGGGGAGGTGGTCATGGCTGCTTATTTTGCTTCCAGGGCTTCCCTTTGGTTTCCTTTGGTGCTAGGGACTTTTCTGATGTCCCTTACAATGGATGAGAGCAACAGTTGCTGGGATCCAAATAATTCCTAGGAGGCACAAGATTTCAGTTTGATTTTTAACTGCTTTTCTTCCATGGTGAGAAGTCCCCTCTTCCTTATAGACAGCTCCACACACATGGAGGGTGGCAAAGGAATATTTTGGAGCTTATGCAGACATGTAGAAAGCTATCCTCTAGGTCCAACCAGACACTACCTTTCAGCCATATGTGGTGGTCACAAAACTGCAGAATTTGGGCCCATTTAGGCTGTGGCTTGGTGGCAGTGGAGTTACATACTCAAGACATATAGTACTCACACTCTTTCACATCAGACTCCACGTGAAACCGCCTCATGAGATTTCCCTAAGTTAGAGGCTGCTGGGAGGCAATCAATCTCCCCTTCCATGTGAAGCATTGGGCCTGACTATGGGTCACCCTGGGGTGTCTTACCTTGTCCAGGTGATTTGTCCACCATCTCTCTCTAGCCTCCTGGTGAAACATGATCAGATGAACTGGGCTGTGCTACACTGAGTTTGGAAGTGGAGGAAATTGATTGGGTGGCATGCCTTCCAAATGTGCACCTACCTGTCCACTGCTCACTTACCTGGTATGAGCAGAGTGCTGCAGCAGTAGTGACTCAAAAGGCCAGTCTTTCTGGTGCGCTCTAGTGGTTCTTCCAATGCACCAAATTATTAAGGGAAAACTGGGGCGGGGGACCAGTCATGCAGAGAAGGCACCAAGAGACTCACATAGAGAAATCAGGAAGCTTATTCTTGCTAGTTATAGCATTTATAGGTCCCTTGCACTGTCACATCATTGTTGAGTATATGTTATTATTAAAAAAGGTACCTAATGCCCTAAGACCACCAAAAGGAAATTTCTTCTGCAAGAATTTTGCAGAGGTAGATATTTAGGGCAGGGGTTAAGTTTTTTAATTTTTTAATTTACTTTTTTAACATAAGTCTTATTACCTGTGCTTTAACAAACAAGGCAGTTGTCCACAGATGTCTCAGTAGGTAACTGTGGTATTTATTTTCTCCATTTTAGTTTTCTTTTTCAACACAGATTTTAGTAAACATTTATAAAACCACTACAAGGTAAGTTACTATTTCAAAAATATAAAATCAGTTGTAATGTTAGTCACAGACAAAGGTGACATTAAATGCACGGCTTTCTTTCTTTCCCCCAATCAGTTCCATAGTGAGTTTGTCAGCCTTTTCAGTCAGGAGGGTGGTGGTCGCAATATCTTGGAGGCAGAGCAGTCATTCTGCTGTTTAGACAGGTAGGCCACAGGGTGCTGCCAGGGCCCTATATTCTGAGTTAAAACTCCCAGGGTCATTCCCTTCTTTTTGTGGATGAACAAGTTTTAAACCCTTGGTTTATACTGGAGAGTCCCAAAACCAGTGCTTCTTGTAGGTTTTTTTTTGATAGTTAAAAAGGCCTTCTGTTGTCCCCACGGAAGGGCTCCTTTGCCCTACTTTTGGTGCTTCATAGAGGGGTTTGACTATTAGCAGCTCTTAGCAAAGGCCTGATGTTCTCAACCTTTCCCAAATGCCCAATATACTCGGGAAGAGGAGGCCTGGGCAAAACAATAAAAAGGAACTGAAGAATCCAGATGTGACAGAAGCTGGCTGAACTCTCACATATGTCTCTGAATCTTTCAAGTGAGGAAGAGTTATTACTTTTTTTCATTCAGATCCCAAGGCCTGATGTCCTTTTGAGATCTGGGATTCTAGATACCTTTCTTTTGGCAGATCATTTAAAAAATTTTATCTATCTATCTATCTATCTATCTATCTATCTATCTATCCATCCAGCCATCCAGCCATCATCTACCTACCTACCTACCTACCTACCTACCTATGAGTGTATTGCCTGCATGTATGTAAGTGCACCCATATTGTACAATGCCAAAGAGGGTGTCAGATCCCCTAAAACTGGAGTTATGGCCAGTTGTTAGCCACCATGTGGTTAAACTGCCTTTTTTGGCAGATCTTAGTCCTTTTGAGAGAAGTCCTATATCCAGCCTCTTGAAGCAGGTCCAGTAGCAAGCACCTTTGTTCCTCACTTGCATTTTCCAGGGTTCCACTCACCAGGAGTAAATGATCCATGTATTGCTATGTGCATTTCAGTTCTATACTTGGGAAATCAGCTAGGTCACTTGCTAAGGCTTCCCCAAATATCATGGGATAGTTTTTGAGTCCTTGGGGCAATCCAGCCCAGGTTAGCTGTCCTTTTTTGCTGCTGAGTTCCTCTCATTCAAAGGCAAATATTGGCTGCCTTGTAGGTGCCAAGAGAATTATGTTGTTGTTAAAGAATGTCTTAACCCCTTCAGCTCAACCTGAAAGCAGATATTTGCCCTCCAGATGCCCCTCTGGGATAGTAGATACAGAAAAAGGTATCCTTGAAGTCCAAGCAGGTGAACCACTGTGCTTCCACAGGTGTGAGACTCAGGAGAGTATATGGGTTGGGGACCACTGGATGAATGGTGGCTGTTGCTTGGTTGATGGCTCACAGGTCCTGGAAAGGTGAGTAGTCCAGGACTGACATTTTTGAAGTATTCCAAGCTCCGAGAATTTCTGCCGATGAGTCTGAATTCCAATCTTGGTTTCAAGAGATAAGAGGTATTGTTGAACCCTTGTCAGGCAGCTGTAGGTAGCAGCTCAACTATCACAGGTGGATGATTAATGGCCAGACCAGGTGGGTTTATTTCAGCCCAGAGTACAGGGAAGCAGGAGTTTCAAGCTTCCAGGGTAAAGTTGGTGTTTGATGAGTTGGGAGTGAATTATCCTTTCTTCCTCTTGGGGATTGAGATTGACAGGATCAGAGAAGTGGCTTCTGGGAATTTCTTTCAAGGCAAGCAGTGCCATCAATGAAGAAGGTAATTCATGCTCCAAGCTTAGACAACAGATCTCTTCCCAAGGGCTCTGGGAGCTCCAGATGATAGAGGAATTATTTGATGTCATCCCATGTAGCACTTGCAAGACTTACAGAAGGGACACCTCACTGGAACACTAGTGGCTTCCGCTATTGTTGTCCCTCCTGATATGCAACCCACTACTTTGGTAACAAATGAATATTCAGCACCAGTGTAGACCATGCCCATCAAATGGCCCCCAATTTTCATTTTTGACCATGGGCTTGTGGTGACCTAATTTGAATGAGTCAGTCTATTCCAGCCAGTCCAGTGAAGTTTGTTGTGGGAGGTGCTTGCATGGAATGAGATTCTGCCTTGGTTTTTGGGCTGCTCCCTTTCCCCATTTTCTTATTGGGGCATTCATTTTTTGTTTGTTTTGGGACAGGGTCTCCCTGTAACTCCAGGTGGCCTGGAACTTGCTATGTAGACAAGGCTGGCTTTGAACTCAGATCTGCCTGCCTCTGCCTCCCAGGTGCTGGGATTAAAGGCATGCACCTTCAATGTCTCTTGTTTGGTAGTCTGTTTATGAACACTTTTTATAACCTCCAGCAGTTAGGTGCTATTCATCCTTACAAAGCCTTCCAGTTTCTGAAGTTTCCTCCAAACGTCTCCTTGTTCCTAGCCCACAAAAGCTGTATTCATCATTCATTTTTAGGGGCTTCAGGGTCCAAAGGCGTGAACTGGAAGAGCCTCTTCTCAAGTTAGGAGGGCTTTCATCTGGTTTTTGTAGAATTTCAGTGGTCTTCATAGTTCCTGTTTTAGTCCTTTTAGTAGGGGATACCTTTCTAGGCAGACTTTATCACCTTCTGAATTGGGGTCCCAGTGTGGATCTTCTACTGGGAGGGCATTTCTGACCTGTTTCTGCATTTAGTTCCTGTCCTTGGACCTGAGTCATTAATCATTTCTCAATTTCAGTCATCATTTGTTGCCATTCCTATTAAGAAGGGTCAGGAGGAGTTGGCAGCTGTCCCCTCAAACATGATGATACATGTGACAAATGGATTCTACTATGTTCTGTGGTTTCTTGGATAAGGGGATGAGGTGCTTCTAATTCAGCAAGTCTGGTTGAGAAGGGCTGATAGTAATAAACAGGCTGTCCTCCCTCTATGCTACCATCCTGCACAACAAGCTGGGGCCACCTAGTGTCTCAGAGGGGCATCTGGAGTATGGGAGTCTGCCTTCAGGTTGAGGTGCAGTGGTTAAGACATTCTTTAAGAACAGAATTGATTGTGGGTGCCTAAGCAAGTAAGGTGATTAAGGTGACTGCAAACAAATGTTTCTCAAGATAACTTTGAGGTCTTTCATGTTTTCCATTTTAGTCAGTATTCGTAAAACCACCTTTTGTGGCTTTATGTCCTTAAGTATAAAAAATATAGAATTAGTCATTAAACAAAAAAGCAATTATCAGACACACCAAAAGGTAACCTTAACTGCATGGGTATATTCCTTTTCCCATCATAAGATTACCCTACAGTGAAGGGCCAGCTTTCCTGGGGGTAATCATCTGCTAAACCTGAGCAGCTGCTCCCTTAAAGGGATGGAAACACTCTTTCCCATATTGCTTATCATTTCCACTGTCTTACAGCAGGCCAGTCCCACTCATTCACTTTGACCTCCGTAGACATCAGAATCAGCAAACACTATCTAGACTTCTCCTGTTTCCCATCAGTTTACTTTGTTCTGCTCCAAGTCCCTCATCAGTTTTTCAAAGCAATACCTAGATAATCTGATCAAGTACGTGTACTTTTACATGTGCTTTCTGCAGATAGCATCTCAACTAGAAAGGGATGACTTTGCACGTGAAAACTACAAACATCACCCGATTACAATCACAGCCATTCTACTTTCTCTAGCCAGAGGTAGCTATACCGCACAGATCTCTCACAGACACGAGTGGGCCAAAGGAACTGTTCCCTCCTAGAACAATGGCCACTGGCCTACGTGTAAAACCCAGTCAAGCAGCAGTGTATAGCTCACCCTTGCTCCAAAGGAAAAGCTGCTAAGGGCAATTCTGACTTGCGCTTCTTGGGAGGTTCAGAATATTTCGCCTGACATTTCCCCTCACCTGCTTTGGCGGGCTGGTTTTGGGTTGGGTCGCACGCCGAGCGTGCGCACATGCAGCATGAGCTCATCTCTCAGGGGCGTTTCCAGAAGGCCGGGCCTGGCTGCGTACGCCCGGCTCAGAGGGCCTTAGCACCCCCCTCGCCCCCGCCCCCGACTGGGCGGGCGCGGCTGCCCTGAGGCGCTGCGGTTCTGGAACCTTTGTTCCCACTTTAGCTTTGGAGGGCTTCCGCTGTGGAGCCCGTCCAGCCCTTTCAGGGAGGACTCCCTCGGATACTCTGCAAGCGCGATCACGCGCCGAGGGGAGCCTCGGGAAGGAGGGATGAGCCGCGCCCTGCGGAGAGCTCCCAGGGGTGGGGTCGGCTCCAGACCCGCTGCAGCGCTCTGGGCACTGCAGCAGTTTCAGACGGGCTTCGCTAACCTGCAGCTGCACGGTGGGGAGCAGCTGCAGGCCAGCTCGGGAGCCCGTCCGCCATGACCCAGGTCGCGCTCCTCTCGCCGCCCCCTACTCGAGGGACCACCGGAGGCCAATCCCACTGCAGCTAGGTCTTGCGATAGCTCGACAGTGGGCACCGATTGGCCGCCGCCACGGCCTCCGGTCACCCTCCTCTCTTTCGCCCCCACGCCCGCTCCAGCGCTGCAAACCAATGAGACGGCGCTTTATAGCCGCCCTCCCTTCGCCCTTTTCTACTACCGCCTCGGAGAAGGAGGAGAAGTTCTGACTGGCTAGCTGTCCTCGGAAGCCCCTTTCCCTTCGCCAATCACCGAGAACGGTCCACTCCCAGAGGAGTTTTCCAGCCAATGACGAAGCGGCCGCGGCGCCGCGCCGCGTAGTTTCTCCCGCGACTCGAGGTTTCACAGTCCTTAACTCTTCAGGCTTTCTCCTGAGGGCGGGCAGCTCTGATTGGCCGCGGTTGCTGTCGTCGAATCTCTCCCCCCAGCCAGCCCCAGAACAAGACGAATCTACCTTCTTTGGGTTCGGCTATCTCCGGCACCCCTCGTTGTTGGGGCGTGGTCTCCCAGCGACGTTTTCTCATTGGCTCTTCAGAACGATCGGCTTTTTCCGGCTGGAGCCGCCAGCCAACGGCGTCTGTGATTCGTTCCGCTTCAGGGTACGACAGCCCAGCCGAAGCTGGCGGGCGCGGGCTCGGCGGGCGATTTCCAGACGCCTTTTACGCAGGCGGCTGGGCGCTGGGCGGTGTGAGGCTGGGTGGGGGAGGAAGGAGGCGGACCACGAGTAGGAAGGGGGAGGGGGAGGAGGAAGGGCTAAGGCGGCTGCGCAGACGGCTCTCCTCACGCAGAGCAGCCCCCGACCCGGGCGAATGCGGGCTTGTGCCGCCTCCGCCTCTGCCTCCGCCTCCGCCGCCCGGGCCGAGTGACAAAGGAAGGAAGGAAGCGAGGAGGAGCAGGGCCCGCTGCCGTTGACAGGGCTTCGCGCTAGGGGCACCGCGCGGACACTTCCTGAGCGGCCACTGAGCTGAGGCGAGGGGCGGAGGGGGGCCGCGCCGGTTCTGCGGACGGGGGAGAGGACCCCGAGGGACACAGCGGTTGCCGGGTTCCCATGTCCCCGGCGTATGGGAAGAAGTCGAGGAGCCGCTGCCTGGGATCTGAAGGGAGCTGCCTCCGCCGCCGCCATGGCCGCTGGATACAGCCGCCGCCTGCAGCTGCCCCTGGCGCAATGAGAGGAACCGCCGCCACCCGCCGCTGACTGACTGGACTCCTCCGCCCTCCGGTTCGCCGGGCCGCCGCCGCCCGCCCGACGGGTCTCGCCGCTGCCGGAGCCGCAGTGTTGGCCGTCGCATCCCGAGCCATCCCCTCCCTCTTTCCCATCCCCCTTCTCTTCAAGCGTGAGACTCGTGATCCTTCCGCCGTTTCCCTTCTTCATTGACTCGGAAAAAAATCCCCGAGGAAAATACAATATTTCAGAGTACTTATTTTCAATCAAGAATTTGCCCTCGTTCACGTGAGATACATAAATATATTATATATATATATTTTTAAGGATTCCACTCCACCCTTTTTCTTACCTCCCAGGAAAGGGAGGTGAAAGAATTGTGTCCCACCCCAGCCCCAAATCATCTGTATGTTAAATATCGGTGCGGATCAGTTTTGAAGGAGAAATACATTGCTTTTTTTTTTTTTTTTAAATAGCTGTACAAAAGGAGCGCCAAGCCAAGTGGACGGTCATTTTTTTCTTTTCTCTTTTTCTTGTGGGAGAACTTAATGCTGCATTTATCATTAACCTAACACCCCAACACACAACAAAAGGAAGCAAAGGACGAAGGAAGGAAAAGGTGATTCGGAAAGAGTAATCATGTCAGGGCGGCCCAGAACCACCTCCTTTGCGGAGAGCTGCAAGCCGGTGCAGCAGCCTTCGGCTTTTGGCAGTATGAAAGTTAGCAGTGAGTATCGATTTTATTTTCCACCCTTTCTCCACCTCACCCCTCCGATCCGAAAGCTCCAAATACCGGGATCTTAAATCACTAGACCTTCTGCTAGAACAATCCAGAGGTAAAGGAACAAGGGCCAAACCTGTCTCCAGGCGAGGATGAGGCAGCTCCCTTTTCTCCTCCCATCTCCGTGCGCCCTCCCCCCGTCTCCTTAACCTTGAATGGGAAAATAGGATTTTGATCGGTGTGATTCGATTTGCAACTTCTTGTCGTGCACGCTCTTGTTGCTGGGAGTCGGCGTTCGCCAGTGCTCAGTGCTCCCGGGTTATATAGGAGAGGGTTGGTTGCCTGCCCAGCCTTTGCAATAAAGACGGGAAGGGACTTGAAAGCGTGATTGTGCGTTTGCACGGCGAGTGGCTTCTGGAATGAGCGCGGTGATTTTCGGTACCTCAGCTCCCCCGGGTTATCCTGGTTCTGTGTGGAGATATTAAGCACCCCAGTGTCCTAACGTTTTTTTTTTTTTTTTTTTTTTTTTTTTTGCCCGTGTGACTATACAGAATAGTTCTTGATCCTGGAGATGAACTTGGTAGCCCGCATTCACGCGGGAGGCCGGCAGCGGATCCCTCCTTTAGTCGGTTGGGTGGAAGCTGCTGAATACCCCGTAGCAGTTGTATCTCAAGTGCATTGTCTTCAATTAGATAAGTGGCTGGACGTGTTATCTGTTTAACCTTCCTGCTTTGAGGTCTCCAATATGCCGCCATATAATTTGTTTAATCAGAAGGCAACTTGGAAGTAGATACAAGTTTTGATTGAGGTTAGATTGTCACAGTGCCAAATATTAAGTTAAATGTTAATTGTCACTGGCTTGTTGGATTTTCTAAACTGCAGAGGATACCTTTTTAGCTTTATTAAAATGTATCAAACATTGTCACATTTACCTAAGACTGGATTTAATGATCACAGTATAGGTTTGGGCCTTTCTAGCATATCTCCTCGAAGCAGTGGTCTTGAAAATAACAGGAATACTTGGAAGGCTGTGTTGGACTGTTGTGTTGTGCTTAGGGTTGACACTGTCTCTTGCCCTGGGTTTGTGCTGAAAAGTCTGTTCTTGAAGTGTTTGAAATACCAAGTATCCAGTGTTTCAATGTATCTATTTGTGGAGACGTTTATGTGGTATTTAATGACAGTTTATCTGAATATACTTGCAGAATTTGACAAAAATATCTACTCTGTTTCCTTATTCTCTGAGAAGGGACCTGTGGACAAAGACAACTATTTTGTTGCCTAGAGGACCTGAAGAACTGAGATTAAAAAAATCAAAATGTGTGTGCTGTTACGTGAAATTACTCCTTCCGGGGCTGGAGAGATGGCTCAGCGGTTAAGAACACTGTTCTTGCAGAAGACCCGGGTTCGAATCCCAGCCACCCTCATGGCAGCTAACAACTGTCCATAACTCCAGTTCCAGGGATCTGACAGATTCTGTCCTCTACAGGCATTGCATGATGTGGATCACTTACATACAGGCATAACACTCATACATATAAGAAAAATAAAAGATTTAAAAAAGAAAAAAAAAGAAATCACTCCTTGCTTTTTTGGAACTTCCCTGGAACAGGTAATAACTGAAAGGGAAGTTAACTCTTTGGTGAGTAGCTAGTAGAGTCCCAGAGTAAGTGAAGAGGGGAAGCTGATTTCACATCTTTCAGGAAAGGATCATGCTTTCTAAGCACATTTTAATGGGGTCATTTGAAAGGAATTTTAATAATTTAGGGTAATTCTCAGTTTTGATGAAACAACTTAAGAGCCTTTGTGATACTTCAGTCTTGGATGTTTGCTGTTTTGCTTAGTTTAAAATCCACTCAATGGCTGGGCTTGGTGGTGCACACCTTTACTCAGTACTCTGGAGGCACAGGCAGGCAGGTCTCTTGAGTTCAAGGCCAGCCCAGTCTACCAAGTTCCTGGCCGTGGGGCTATTGGGAGACCCTTCCCTGTCTCAAAAAGACCAAAAAAAAAGGGGGAAAAAAAAAAGCCACTCAAAAATCAATTTTAAACAATTCATTAAGCATTTGTTAGGGTACAGGGGTTCCAAAGGGATTCTTTCAAAACTATCGATACATAAGAAATTATCACCCTTGTCCTCAAAACCTCTTGTGGTAAAAGGCAGCCTGTCAGAAAAAGATGAAGAATAATTCCGCTGTTCAGAGGGACAAAGGATAAAGGGGTGCTGAAAAAAGACCTGCAGAAGGCAGACAGACAGAGAAGGTATGTTTAAAACAGGTACTGAGGCCGTGACAAGAACTCGTGGACAAGCATGAAGTGTTAGAAGTGGAAGGGAAGTGTAGAAGAAGCTCAGAGAACCCTGTTTTGTATAATGGGAGTAAGCAAATATGAATTTTTTTTTGATCATTTTGAGACTGGGTCTGTCTGCCTGTAGCCCCAGCTGGCCTAAAACTCATTTTGTAGACCAGGCTGGCCTTGAACTCTCAGAGACCCACCTGCCTCTGCCTCCCAAGTGCTGGGATCAGTGGTGTGCGCCACTGTGTCTGGCTGGCAAATCTGAATTAAAGGGGTCGAAATGGGAAAATAAGACATGGCATTTGTGATTTCAGGGAAGGTTAGCTGATAGCAAAGGAGGCTTATAAAAATTTGGGTGGGATTTAAGAGAGGCTTGGATTTGCTGTAGATTGCTGTCCAGGATACTTGTTGAAGATTTGGGTGGCAGAGTTGATGGTGTAGAGGGACATTAGAACCCTTTTTGGGAGATAGTGGGATAGGTTGTAAATCATGAAGTCAAACATGAAAATGGGATGAAAGGAGCAGATTCCAAGCCTGAGTGAGGAGCTGGCAGGACTTTGGATATGACTGAAGGGGTGGGGGGGATATTTGTGGAGTCAGGAGTTAAAAATAAATTCTGAGGTTATTGGTCGGGAAGACTTGACCACTGAGTTATATTGTTAATTGTAATGGGGAAATTGAGAAAATGCTGAGAGGGTGGATGAGTTCACTTAAAAAAATTTCATATACAATAGGTTTCCTTGAAATTCACCAAAAAGCAGTTATTGGCAAAGATATTTAACTTTCCATTCTATTAATGTAATTTCTATTTTCCTTGACACAAAAATGTGAGATATTTGGGAACAGTAAATGAGGTTAATACTTTTGGTTAAATCTAAAAGAGAAATTTTTTTTTAGTATAGATTCAAAAGCCTTATGTTTGAAACAGTTATTATAGTGCCATGATAATTTATTTGAAAAGAATGAAAATACTAAACTATGAATTAAGCATTTTAGATATTTTATATAGCCTTCAATTTAATCCTTACAACATACTTAAACTTGTTTTCACAAATAATGATTATTTTTAGGTAAATTTTGCCTTTAAAATAATGATAATACTTTAATAATAATTTAAAAGTTGATTATAGAAGAGTTTTTTTTGTTAAGGTATTTATCTCGGGTTTAAATACCAGTATATTTCAAATTCTTTTTACTTGCTCTGATGAAATCAATTATTTTTTATTCACATCCAGATTTATGTATTATTAAACATACTAATATTTACACAGGTCTTTCTTTAGAATCACTTTTTACTCAAAACAGAGAAAGTATGATTGTCCATGGTAATTTTGGTTAAAATATTCCTAGTAAATGCTTTTGATGTACTATTGGAAAAATTTTGGCTAGTTGTCCAGATACAGTGCTTGAATACAAGGTTTGGAAAGTAACTCAAGTTGTTTCCTCATATGAGATATTTTTGATCAAAATTTTTATTAGCAAAGATGGAACAATTAGTTGCATAGTATTCTGCTGTCTCAAATTATACCGTGTTAAAACCAAAGACTAGCAGCTTGGAGGCTCTAGTAGTTTCTGCGAAAGTTTCATCTGATGACATGTAAAAACTTGATTATTAGAAATTAACCAATTTCTTGGTTTCCTATTTAATGTAGAAAAGATTGCTCATGTGTATGACTGAAAACTAGGACCTTCTGGACTAGACTAACTCATAGTTTTTAAGTGCTTAAGCTGTTCTGGCAAGAATTGCATGCTCTTTTGTTGCATACACCTTTAGAATGCTAATTATCAAGTGTTGGAGGCACTAGCCATCACTAGGAAGAAACTTCAAAGGGATCTAGAGATTGATTCATCAGTTAATTTATGACTGATTGGAAACTGTGCTTAGAAAACTGAGGTGACCTCTCATTTCTCTAGTCCATCAGCTGGTACTTGTGCCCTGTTTGCCTGTCTCTTCTGTTGGACTTTTGAGTTGCAGGTGTGAGATACTGCTTTGGATAAACAATAAACAGCCAGGCTAGGAAAACCAGTTTTAAAGCACCAGCTGGAGATGATGACACAGGACATTCTTTGCAGAGGGAAGGCTGAGAAACATGTAGATGCTGACCCTTCTGTTTCTGTTTTTGTTCCATACTTAATTAAAAAAAAAAATTGTGTGTGTGTGTGTGTCTATGTGTACCCACATTCTACATCCTGCATGTGTGTGTATGTGAAGGCCAGAGGACTCATTCTTGCTTTCCATCATGTGTCCTGTGGATTGAACTCAGGTTGTCAGGCATGCTTGGCAAGTGCTTTTACCCCCCTGAACCATCTTTTCTTTTCATTATTTTAAAATAAGATTCAAGGGATTGAGAGATGGGATTGATGAGGGCAGGCAGGATGTGAGACTGGTGCCTCTTGTGATGCTCCACCCTCAATGGCGACTAGAGGGGCAGAGCACATGGGTGTGACAGGAGTGAGCACTGGGACTAAAACAGGACCAACTTGATTCCCCAGGTACTGTTCCACAGAGAACACTGTGACAAAATAAATTTGTTGGAACAGTTAATAAAATTTCCTGCCTGATTTTATTTTATTTTTTGAGGGGTATTCCAGTGGTAATGAAAGAATTTTGCGTAATTTGAAGAATAAGAGCATTTTCATGGCATATGGATTTTTAGAGTGGATGTTACAGTCTTTGTATCGACCTTTGGTTATATAAATCTTTCTTAATTATACAA